GTTCGCCTGCTGGATCCTTGCCAGAACAATATCTAAAACTTCAGAACTGATCTCCCCACATAAGACCCTGGCTGCTTTCAGTGGCCAGGGTCCCACTCCCGTGGTTCATCACACCAGGTGCTGCTGGCAGCCCATTTACAGGGTGCTGCCTGTCCTGTGGCTGTGGCCGTCCGCAGTGGCCTGTGAAGGCTGTGCTGCCTCTTGTATGTGCAGAGTCAGACGTCGTCGCTGTCAGCACCGCCACATTGGCTGCTTCTGTGCTTTTGGTGAAAAAGCCAAGCACGTGATACAACCTAATCCTGATTCCCTAAAGTGGCCCCCAGCCTTCCTGGCACCAGGGATTGGTTTCATAGAAGACACTTTTCCACAGACGGGTCGGGGGTCAGGGTGGTGTCAGGATGAAACTGTTCAGGTCGTCAGGCGTTAGATTCTCATAAGGAGCGCACAACCTGGACCCCTCGCATGCGGAGCCCACGGGAGGCTTTGCACTCCTGTGAGACCCTGATACCCTGCCCCTGCTGATCTGACAGGAGGGGAGCTCAGCCGGTAGTGCTCCCTCACCTCCTGCTGTGCCTCCCTGTTCCCAGCAGGCCATAGACCAGATCTGTCCCAGTCCGAGGTCCAGGGTTTGGGACCCCTGCTGTAAAGGCTTAGGGTAACCTGGTCTCATTTGGCAATTACAGGTGAAGGACTTAACTAAGTACTTGGATCCCAGTGGGCTCGGCGTGATCAGCTTTGAAGACTTCTACCAAGGGATCACAGCCATCAGAAACGGAGGTCAGTCGTCCCCGCCATGAGCTCCCACCTCCTCTCCCCTTCCTCAGCCATCCTCTCAGCCACCTGCACGTCACTGGGCTCCTCGTGCCGACTCTGTCATCGTTCCTTCTCCATGAAGCCCCCAACATACCCCAGGTTTCCAGGTGGTCTCCTTCCTTTCTTGTTACTTTCTCCTCACACACCCTGTCTTCCAGAATTGGCTGAGTCAACTACTTTTCCATAATGCTAGAAAGCAATTGCCCCTTTCCTCAAAGATTTCATGATGGAAATTTGAGAATTTTCAAAGTACTGAAAGAATGATTCCATGGCCACCCACGTGGGTGTTCACCACCGTGCTCTGCAGGCAGCACTTTGTTGCACTCTCTCCACGTCTCTGTCCATCTCGTCTGTCCCCCAGACCCTCTCGAATGGGATGTGTTTGCAATCAGCATGCTTCCACGCACACCGCCCTGAACACTGCAGCCCATACCACCATCGTTCCCTAGAGCTCAGTGCTTGTTTCCAGTCTTCCTTTGAGTAAAAATTTACCTGTAGTGAAATGTACAGCTCACGCCTGCTCCTCTGTGAGCTCCGACAGAGTCCCATGCCTGGCAGTGCAGAGCCTGTCACACGCATCACTATCCCCATGTGGGTCCCGCATACCCCTTGCCCTCAGGCAGTGCCTTCCCTCCTGCTGGCACCGTTGTTGATTTCTGTCACCGTGGATTAGTTTTGCCTCTCTCTCTCTCTTTTTTTTTTTTGAGACTGAGTTTCACTGTCATTGCCCAGGCTTGAGTGCAATGGCCCGATTTCAGCTCACTGCACCCTCCACCTCCCGGGTTCAAGCAGTTCTCCTGCCTGAGCCTCCTGAGTAGCTGGGATTATAGGCACCCACCACCATGCTCGGCTAATTTTTGTATTTTTAGTAGAGACGGGGTTTCACTATGTTGGCGGGGCTGGTCTTGAACTCCTGACGTCAGGTGATCCACTCGCTTCAGCTTCCCAAAGCTGAGGTGCTGGGATTACAGGCGTGAACCACCATGCCTGGCCAGTTTCACCTGCCTTGAGGGTCGTGTGCTCTCACCTGGCTTCTTTCCCCAGCAGGACG